ATATATATATAGCCAGATAACAATAAACTCGTATTTACCTGAGTGCAAGCGAACTGAACAACAATTAAGGGGCAGTCACCTGTTCCAAGATGAATAAATATAATGGAGGATAATGAAATTAAAATTCAGCATGGTAACAGAGGCAGAGGACGATTTAATCGCTAGGTTTTGGCAGTTAGCCCGAACAAGGGGTACTGGTATACAGTCTTTGACCGCTTCGTCCACAGGAGCATGTGACCCTGACAAAATCATTGACCAGTACGAGAGCCTGAGACTGCGTGGCCACAGGTTAGTACAGTTTGATATCGCCTCTTGAAACCCTCGGAATGAATTAGGTTAAATCGGTCGTTATGTTTGCTAATTTGGCTGTTATTATATTCTTAGAAGGCATGGACCCGCGTGATCAGATTGAATAGGGTCGGGGTGATTTATGGCGGCTCCAGTGTACATTAGTATATGCGTCACGACGAGGTGGAGTCAGGCTCTCGTCTTTTTTTTTTGTCTTTTTTTGGCATGTGGAGTTATTGGTGGCATCTTAGAGCTTGTCTTTTTGTTTTGCTTTTGATGGAAACAACACTCACCTTACTTGAACATACGTTAAGATCTTTTCGATTGAAGAAGGTGGAAATCGCCTTGTTTTTTTGTAAAAATTATCGAGAAAATGTACGCCAAGTATGGTGACTTTCAAAGCCTGGGAGTTCTCGAACACTGCAAATTGTCATTTCATCAAAGTTTTTCAGCAAAACACACACAAAAATAATATTTTTAATGGACAAGAAAAGTGTTGAGCCAAAAAAACAAAAATTCGATAAAAATTGCCAAACGAGAAGAACAATGTCAAGCTGTTTCTTCGATTTCATTATTTTTACGACGAGCGCCTGATTTCACCACAATGCCTCAAAAATATCAAATTTGCCTCAGCCTATTTCTTTTGATTTAACCGTGAAGTCTTTTATAGTCTACCGCATTCCACGCCGAGACCTTGACTTCTACAAAATGGGTTTTAAAAATACGCTTTTGAGATGTGGTACTACCGAAAAATGGCCAGACTTGGCTGGAAAGCAAAAAATGACGAATAATGTGGGGTGCCAGATTCTCCACCTTAGACAAACCCTGTTAAACAAAATGAAAGATTTTAAAAATACAATGCTGTGGTCGTATAAAATGCCACCAGATTATTATGAAGCAAATTCTCGAAGGCAAAACGTGGGACAAGTTTTATGTGTACGTCTACGTCGGTTTAGTGTTGACAATAATATCCAGCACGCCAGATGAACGGCATGCTTGTGTGTTGTTACATTTGTTGGAACCATCCAGTGTATCTGACACATACTTTGTATTACATGTACCCATCGGGCCAACAGAAAAAGATCCCATGCCCAGTGTCATTTTGGTGTAAACAGCCAGACTCATCGTACTAGTCATGTTCATAACTTGATTGGAACTACAGAGGTAGGGTTTTGGGTAAGACAACAAACTGCATCCCGTCTTGAGTGCACAAGTTTTGATGTGCACTCTATAATAGTAAAGAGACAATATTTTCGCGACGTTGCTACGGCTCGGCCCGTGGCTTTTGGTCTGCACGCACACTCCGACTCCCGGACCTGTAATTGTGAGACTAAGGATTCGGGGATTTGAGCCTCAGCTAAGTCCGAAGTTGTGTCCTGGAGAAAGTCACTGTACTTGTATTTGGCTCTTTCCTTTCGGAGATGGACGTTAAACTCGAAGGCCTCGCCTCTTAAATAACCTAATAGTGTTAATAGTGATGTCAAACCTAAAACTTTGCATTACTGTTTTCCTCGATAGCCACAGTCAGAAGAAACATTTCCGTGCCGCAACTGATCTTGCTTTGTCATTTCCAACTCTCTAAGGACGAAGAGGGCGGATTGATATGTTCGTTCAGCAGACGGAAAGCAAAATTTAGGCATATTTCATAGAATGCATATTTTACATGCCTACCTTTTTAAAATTCTGATAAAGAAAACATACAGTGTCGTCCAAAAGAAATTTGAAAATATAATCACCAAATGATCGTGTTAAAGCCTTGCATTGCTTCATCTGACACATTGCTAATTCAACTACGTTGAGAGACGCCCGAGATATGGTCACAAGAAATTGACCTTCAAAAATCAGGTTTGGCACAATTGAGCGAAATTAAAGCAACGTAAAAATTTTTTCGAGCGTATTTGAGGAGCATTAATATAATTATAATGGAGAATTTTGTCTCAGAAATAGACACCAATTTATTACAATATTTTGCCACGATATTTTTTAACAAAACGGAAAACAGCAATCACAAATACCATGCAAAACTTGCACTTGAAGTTAAATGTGCTCATTGTTATTTTGCGTAGGAGCCATTGGTTTTGTGTAGTCCTCAAACCTTTTGGGCATCGACTCTATTAAATTTTGGACATAATTATTTATCATTTCATCCCAAATGTCACAAAGAGTTTCAAACATTATGGTCTGAATTGGGAGCATGGACGCTTTTCTTCAGCTGCTGTTTCATGGGACTTCACAGACCTGCAGTATTCATATCAGGGATATTTACTGGTGGCCACTCCATCCTTGATTTGATTTGGTTTTCCAAGAATTATTTAGTGGCATCGGTCTTTTCAAAAAATGCTTTGCTATGCACGGAGATGTCTACTTTAGACAATGACGAAAGAAAGGGTAAGACATGACGTTCCAGAGCTTGTGCGATGTAGTCCACGAAACCAAGCCACCCTGTGATTGTCACAACGTCGGTTTTGTTCATTCCCCAGACCACCAAAAACCATGGCAGTTGCGTGGCCTCTGTTCCTCACTGATAGATGATTGTCCAAAATCTAACTAACTCAGTCCATGTGCAAAAAAAGTTTCGTGCTCGACACGAAACCCATAACTCCTTAAAAATTTTAAACTATGAACACATGTTACTGTTACGTCCAGGTTTTGCATGGTATTTAATAATTTATAACGCCTTTGTTTTCCAGTCTGTTTGAAAATATCACCAGAAGATGCTGTTCATTGTGTAAAGATCATGATGTTCTCTTTTCATGTGATATTCAACACAAGTCCTTTCAAAATACTGAGGCACTGCAATAAAGATCTATGCGCGAACAAACTTATACGTTCCTCCGATTTCGCACAATTGTTCCAAGACTGATTTTTTTAGGTCTGTTTTTGAGTGACCACATCTCGGGCGTCTCTTAACATAGATATAGATCTAGATGAAATATTAAGGTGTCAAATGATGCAGAATGTATATATAATAACTTTAAATTGGTATGCTGCATGAGCGGGTAGTACAGTTGTGTAACAACAATGAGGTTTTTAAATTTTGTTTATAACCTTTGAAATAGATTATCACGCCTTCACAAGGTCATATGAGCGCACATAAACTCAATTTGGTTATTTTCATATTAGAAGTTCACAGCTTGGCTTGGTTTTACTTTGTTAGTCAGAATGATTGAAGTATCTAAAAAACCAGTTTTAAAAACAAAACAGTAATTTAACTATTAATTTGAATACAACTTTTTTCGCTTTACTATAAATTATAAAGATCAATGGTCTTAATGAAATCAACAATTTTGCTGGGATCAACGACGGAGAATAAATTCTTCAAATTATCGCATTATGTAAACTAGTTCACAAAGTTGTTCTTTAAAGTTAAAGTCTGGAAATTGTACTAGGATGCGTCTGATAGAAAGGTCGGTTTCGCATTCGACACAAAAATGTAAAATTAATGGTTTTTCATCTCCCTGCAGGAAGTAGCTATCTGTCGGGGGGGGGGGGGGGGTTAGCTCACTACGTAATCTCAATAACTAATTTAATTAAAACCCAATCCGTACGCCTGGGGTCATTTTGTACGCCAGGGGTTATATTCTTCGAATTATAGAACACTTCTAGCGCGAAGATCTCTTTGAAACTTTCAGTACATGTATTTCTCAAAAAATCGTTTTGACAGACTGTCATGCAAAGCGTACGGATCGGATTAACGAGTTAATTTCCTCTCTGGAAAGTGGGGGCACAGAGTTCCCCACGTCGTACGGATACGACAGTAAAAACATGACGTACGGATAGGGTTAAAGAAAACTTAGCGAGTATAAAGAGATATTGTCTGAGGGAGGGGGATGTAGTAATAATAATAATAATAGATAGCATTTGTATAGCGCATATCCCCGCTCAACAGCAGGCTCTATGCGCTTTACACTATATTATTACCCCAGCAGACCATAGAACATTCCGAAACATTCTCAGCTTCCCGGGAAGCATACAGTGCAAGCAGCCGATTAAGCGCTCAAACACTAACAAACTGTCAAGATCTTTCGCTGTCTATAGCCGGGTACCCATACCCACCTGGGTGAAGTGAGGAAAATTCGTGTAAAGTGCCTTTTCCAAGGACACAACGTCGGGTCCCTGACGGGATTCTAACCCACGACCTTACGGTTGCGAGTCCGAGAGCCTAACCACTAGGCTACCGACGCCACATGTAGTAATAGTTTAGTCTGACTAACGGGGAACAGAATTTCCACAAAACGTAGAACGTTCTTACGCGCGCAGGTCAAAAATATGACGCGAGGGTCGTAAACTAATTGGGGACTACAGGGGGGAAAGGTGTTGATGTCACAGTTTCCTACTATTGATAATTTAGATCCTCAGATGCCGTGGGTTCTTTTTTTCACGTATCAAATTCGTAGACGTTATTGCTTTTTGTGTTGAAAAATGTGTTTCGCTGTTATTTAGACAGGCGTTTCTTTTTCATCTCGACATTGTTTTGCACAGTGAGTATTTTCTAGAAAAGGACTACATCTAGTCTAGATCTATGGTTTGGACATGATCAGTTTCGGTTGTTGTTTTATAGCTTTTGTTTTTTGGGGGATTTAAAAAAAATTGATTTTCGACTGGTACAGTCGCGTGTTCCTCTTAAGTGATCATCGTGTCCGTATGAAAGCCGACTTCTATTTATCATTACTTCCTTTCTCGTACGCAACGTTGCAATTGGTTTTGCTTCAACGTTATTCGATAAAACACCTTTAAATCATCGTGGTAATACCGAGTTGTAAGAAGTCATACCGAAGAACCCAAAATAAGACACAACAGTCGTAAATCGTACATCTTTGGAATACAACTACAATTTGTTTTTTGTTTCTAACGAATATAAGTTCTGTTTTATTGACCCCCTTAAGAAAATTGTTTAACAATAGCTCACAGAGATACTGATTAAGTTTGAGGCATCGTGGTGAAATCAGGCGCTCGACAAAATTATAAAATCAAAGAAACTGGCGTTTCTCTGGCCTTTTCTAATTTTCGTTTTGGCTCACCTTTTATGAGGATTTAAAAACACATTTCTGTGTGGATTTTACTCAAAAACATTGATTAGAGGCACAAAAATGCAAATTTTCAGGTTGCAAGGACTCTCAAGCTATGGAAATGACCAAACGTTGACGGCCTTTTTCTCGCTAATTTTACCTCTGAAACCAATTGACCCAGACATCCTTCAATCGCAAATATTTCGACCTCTTTTCAACATAGATGGATAGTTTTTCACCAAAAGCAAAAACAAGCCTTCAGATGATACCAATAACCTGTTTCTCCCCGACCGTGTTACTACTCATGACGTCAAAGGTCTTGCGGGCACCTAAGCATTCTATCCATGCCGTTCGCAGAACTTACGAAATGTCATTGTCAGGGATGGTGAGTTTGTGGAGTGGTAATGTTCAGTACAAAAAGCTCTCTGCTCTTTACTAAACGTAGCCGTGATCTCAGCAGGCAAACAAAATTTGGGAAAAAATAATATCTGCAGACTTCTGTTGACTTGTTAGACTGCTGTGGCTTGCAATAAGTGGTAGGCCTAATGCGAACTGGTGCGTCATGCTATGAAAATGGCGACAAGGTTGAAAATGAGTTGTTGTTTTTTAGCGTCATGCTATGAAAATGGCGACAAGGTTGAAAATGAGTTGTTGTTTTTTAATACGCTATATAGAGCAAACCATCCAATGGGCTTATCTAAAATACATATCAGAAAAATTCCTTTTGGCTTCCAAACGTTATGTTCAAATATGAAACGCAAAACTTCAGTATGGAGGAAGATATTTACAAAACAAGTTGTTTTTATCACCCTGTAAGTATATATATATATATATTGGCGCTCATATGACCTTATGCAGTTGCGATCGCCGTAAAGCTTCACTAAAACTAAAAAACAAACGTATTATATATATATATATATATATATATATATATATAGAGAGAGAGAGAGAGAGAGAGAGAGAGAGAGAGAGAGAGAGAGAGAGAGAGAGAGATCGGTATAGATATAGATATAGAGATAGAGATAGAGAGATAGATAGATAGATAGATAGATAGATAGATAGATAGATAGATAGATAGATAGATAGATAGATAGATAGATAGATAGATAGATAGATAGATAGATAGATAGTGTGTGTGTGTGTGTAAATCAAAAGGAGTTTATCTGGTATACATATTATACAAATATTTATATACATGTGTATGTTATGTTATGTTTTGTTATTTTATGTTATGTTATGTTATGTGACACACCCACACGCACGCACGCATGCACGCACGCACGCACTCCCACACACACACACACACACACACACACACACACACACACACACACACACACACACACACACACACACACACACACACACACACACACACACACACACAGAGAGAGAGAGAGAGAGAGAGAGAGAGAGAGAGAGAGAGAGAGAAAGAGAGAGAGAGAGAGAGAGAGAGAGAGACAAAGACACACACATACAAACAAACAAACAATTACAACACATATTAACCGTTATCTCTTCCTCTATGCCTTATACTCTCTCTCTCTCCCTCCCTCTCTCCCTCTGTCTCTCTCTCTCTCTGTCTCTCTCTGTGTCTCTCTCTCTTTCTCATACTCACGCACACATACACACACACACACACACACACACACACACACACACACACACACACACACACACATACACACACACACACATACACACAAACATGCGAACACACAAACGACATCACGTTGCCAAACACCTGACACGTACAGCATGTAAATCCCTTACTTTAACCCTTTAACCCTCCCATTTCTGTACCCCAGGCCCTCTTCCGCGGATACTCTGACAGATGACACTTGGCTCCGCCCTGCCTCTGTGACTGTCGTGTGATTGACAGACATGGCCATGCCCTACATTTTTAGTTCTTGATCACGCAAGCTTACTTTATGAACAGCAAGGGAGTTTTTCAGTTGTACTGTATATTATTATTATCATTATTGTTTCTTCTTTGTAAAATAGTATTTAAAGTCACGCAATAAAATATCGTATACCAATATTACCCTTAGTGTTGTTTAATTTTTTTTTAAGGGGAGGGGTTGCAAAAAATAAAAGGAAATTATGGCTTTTCTTCATCTGGTCGGTTTTGAAATAAAGTGAGATCTGTGAAAAGTGTATCCCAACGGAACCATGTCAAGGACAAGAACGGATAAGAAGGCTTGTGTTGTACAGTTAGAAGAGAATCGGGTTATGTGGCTTTGATCAGTTTAAATATCAATTCAAATAATAATGTCTTTTACACCCGCATCAACACAGTTTAGACCACTTAGGTAACGAGCTTCGACCGTGCCTGTCAAAATCCCCGCAGAAAGACAGAGATAGACGGAGATACTCGATTAAAATGGTCCTCACAGGAATCGAACTTGGGTCTTCTGCGTACATCAGCGCTGTGACTAATCTTCCCCGATCTTTCCGATAGGAACTTTAAAAGTTTTTTTTGTTTTGTTTTGTTTCATAGAGATCAGATAAATATTTATCGTCCTGACCCTGGCACATTGGTTCGGTTTTAAA